GTTTTATTAGACCAAAGGTTCATTTTGCACCGGAGTTCTCCTTTAAGAGGGAAATGGCTAGAATTTATTCACACCTCCACTATTGAATCCAACGTATCATCAGCACTCGGATTCGCTTCCGTGGTCCTGTCAAGTACGACTTGCAGTCTGTAAGGGAAACTAAACGCTATTGGCTATTGAAAAGGGGGAGGAGCCATTCAATATCTCCCTCCTTCGCTTCCTGTTTCAGTGGAAATTACGTCATCATAGTAGAAAGGCACTTCATTTGGCCTTTAGTACATAAAGAAAACAAAAGAATTGGCTAGATGTCCAACAAACACCGTTTTTTCCATAGCCACCAAACTTTTGGGCCTCTCTTTATTGATGAGGCTCCTCCCCCCACATTCAAACAGTCCAATCACAACCCTCTGTCATTATAATAGTCTAAGTTTAACAGGGCGATTGGGTAACTGACTCATCATTCCACAAAACATGATCTATAGATAAAACCATAAAAACCCACATGCATTTGAAAACACACACTTTCAATGCAATGACATTCTTAATAAGAATGTCATTTCAACTCCAAAGAAATTCACAATTATCACAAAACATTAATTGTTTAATTCCACTTCATGCTTTATTATTTGCAGAAACCAAGACACAGAATAACAAACACACTAGTCACCCTGGAATGTGCACCTTCCATGTGACTTTGATTTGTGGAATAATAACAATGAATACACCTATCTATTTGTATCTCAAAAGGTGCGTCCCAATTCGCGTACTTATGCACTATTCTATGTCGAGTTGTAGTATAAATAGTATAAAGAGTTGTGTGTTCACTCTGAAATGCTTTATATACCCGGATGATGCACTTAATTAGCCTAAAAAATGAATTATGGAATGTTGGACACTTCACTGTCGCAGCTTTAATTACGTAGCGGAGGGGGAGGGGCTTACTCAAACGTTCAATGTCCTACTAAACTCTTCTATATCTCATTGACCCTAAAGTGTGCATCTATCTCATTTGTTTTCACATAAGCAATCATATTTATTATTCACATAACACCTTGGCTGGCCGACATGAACACAATGGATGGTGATCTCACTAAAGCAGCAGCTCATTGAGTTCTGAATCGACTTGGAGACTGTGCAACAATTAACTTAATGAAGAGCGGGCGCATTAGGATGTCACATTTAGAGCTCAAGTAACACTGATGCCTTGAATATTCATGTGTTGGCAGCTCACAGATTCATAATGCCTCGCGCCACTGAATACCAATAGCTGCATTTCCCGCCAAACGCAATATCTGCCTGTGCACGATCACACTCTAATCGTGCTCATTGAGTTCATTATTTTTGGTTCATTCTCCTCACAGACATAACATCTGCCATTTTGAAAGGGACAAAGCAAGCCATATTTTTTTCATAAAACAAGTCATAAGAGTTTAATACCTCCCCAGAAGATATTGCTTAACCCTGTTTAAAACAAAATAATATTAACAAAAACAACTAAAACCAGCCAATTTCAGCACAGTTTGAGACATATCAGTTTTGAGAGATCTCTAAAGGAGTTTATGTTTAAGAGAGGCGGGAATAAAAAGCTAAGACTAAAACCTAAGATGGAAGGCTGGTCTTAGCTTGTTTACTGTAAGATGTCCAGGCTGGGTTTCAGCCGGTTGGTCAGCTAGTCTCCCAGCCTGAAGTGCTTAAACCCTGCTAAACAAGCTATGACTAGTGTGGAAGACCAGCTAACACCAGCAAACCAGTTTAGGCAGTTTTCTCCAAGCCGGGATGATACTTAATAAGAAGAAGTCTTCATTGGCTCTCATATTCATTATTATCTAGGAGAAACAATTGGGCTATTATTAAGATCAAATTTTCTTCTGCAGCTAATTAAACCATGGTATTAAAAATAATAATGCTAAAGTCACAGCTGGATTAGACCTAATGTAAATCCATTTTGCACAACCACAACAGTGCAGGAACAAGGAGTATTTTAAAAAGTAGCTTGTTGGTAGAGTTAGCATACATGCTCTCAGGGCTAATGCAATAAACATAAGGTTACATGAGAAGAAGGCTAACACTTAATTTACTATTATCTGTTGTCAAACTTATTCTTCTTTAAATGATCGAGCTAGTAGGCTATATATCTTTAAAAAGCATTAAGCTTTAAAAGATAGCATGCTAATCAGTCATAAAAAGTAGCGTATAGTGTATCCCAGAAATCTAGTCTCTGTGAGCTATCAATTGAAGTTCAGTGTCCCAAATCTGGAAAACACAAATTAGTGACGCCACCAACTGGAGAACCTGAGAAATTTATTCTTTCCTACATTTGTACAAACACAATAACTGACAAATTTGAAATTAATGCACAATTAGCCACAAAACATGCTAAAACTCATTGTCATTCAAAAAGTTCTACAAATTCCCTGCATATTAAAAATAAGAAAATCTGATTAATATTTCAGATAAGATAGTAGTAGGCTTCGCTAGTTCAGTTTTCCACAATTAACCAAGTTAAAATCCATTCAGCATATTTCCCCAAAAAACTGAAGCGATAAGCTGTAGTCTAACAAGATGTGACGTCTGTTGAATGAAGAAAAATTATAATAACATTGATACTCAGGACATTTATAACGTTACTTTGTTAAAAATTAATCTACCAATCTCAGCTCCGTTTCGGAAACCCTGCTGAAATAGAAAAAAAAGGAATAACACACCAGTCTGTCCTTCAAATGAGTAAGTCTTGAATATAGCAATTACGATAAATACGTGCAAATGAATGCTGCAAATATGATGATGATGGTGATATCATTTTGCACATATCTTGAAAATGGATCTGTTGGCGTCAATGCTGGATGACTAAGTACTTGGTATGTGAGGTTTTTCTGCATCATTTAATGTGTTTATTCACAGAAGTGAATGTATGCGGGTGGTTTAAAGATTTGGGCTGCTATCGGAAAGTTTGTAGCTTTATCATTATTGTTTCCTTGAACAAAACTTTAAAAATCAACTGGGCTTACCTTATGTAACCTTTGCTGGCGACAGAATCGCTTGAATAACTCAACACTGCCATCTGCTGTGTTTCAAATGAACTGAGTTGGCTTTACAAGAGGAAGTGGCTCAGGCCATTGGCAGGAATTCGGGTGACATCAGCTGGAATTTCCTTCAGTGAGAGCAGATGTGAACTGAGATGAGATCTCTCTCTCTCTCTCTCTCTCTCTCTCTCTCTCTCTCTCTCTCTCTGAGAGAGAACCTACTGTATGTCATAAGACAGTAGATGATTGTTGCTCTCTTCAAAGAACAAAGTATGAAGGAAATGCTTCATCTGACAAGATAATTTAAGGCAGTCTTGTTTGTGAAGTGCAGACCATAATCATAATGTGGGACTTAAGGTCAAAGTTTAACGTTATTATTAGACTTAAAACCTGAACTAAAGGAATAGTTCTGACATCCTTACTCACCCTTATGTCATTAGATTTTTTTGTCCATCTACCTAACACACAAATACACAGACTTTTTAAAAAAATGTACCGTAAGAAAGTACTTTTATTTATTTTTAAAGCTATTACAATTATGAGAATATGGCAGTGTTTTTGGTGAGTTAATAGACCATTTTGCAAGATGTAAACAACACTGGTCCAGAAGCACTTCCTGTTTCAGTTTTTTAACACTACATAAAAGCTGGGATAAAATACAACCAACAGAACATATAAAACTGAATCAAAGGGTTAAACAAACATCTTTAAGATGTTTTCTTTACATGTGAAATAAAGAAAACAAACTGAAACAGGAAGTGTTTCTGGACCAGTGTTGTTTATGTCTTGCAAAATGGTGTTACGCATCACATTTGTGCTTCAGCAAGAACCAATGAGATTCATTCTCATGTTACGCATCACGTTTGTGCTTCGGCAAGAACCAATGAGGTTCGTTCTCGTGTTACGCATCAAGTTTGTGCTTCGGCAAGAACCAATGAGGTTCGTTCTCGTGTTACGCATCAAGTTTGTGCTTCGGCAAGAACCAATGAGGTTCGTTCTTGTGTTACGCATCACGTTTGTGCTTCAGCAAGAACCAATGAGGTTCATTCTCGTGTTACGCATCACGTTTAAGCTTCAGCAAGAACCAATGAGGTTCATTCTCGTGTTACGCATCACGTTTGTGCTTCAGCAAGAACCAATGAGGTTCATTCTCGTGTTACGCATCACGTTTAAGCTTCAGCAAGAACCAATGAGGTTCATTATCGTGTTACGCATCACGTTTGTGCTTCAGCAAGAACCAATGATGTTCATTCTCGTGTTGCGCATCACGTTTGTGCTTCAGCAAGAACCAATGAGGTTCATTCTCGTGTCACGCATCACGTTTGAGCTTCAGCAAGAACCAATGAGGTTCATTCTCGTGTTACGCATCACGTTTGTGCTTCAGCAAGAACCAATGAGGTTCATTCTCGTGTTACGCATCACGTTTGTGCTTCAGCAAGAACCAATGAGGTTCATTCTCGTGTTACGCATCACGTTTGAGCTTCAGCAAGAACCAATGAGGTTCATTATCGTGTTACGCATCACGTTTGTGCTTCAGCAAGAACCAATGATGTTCATTCTCGTGTTGCGCATCACGTTTGTGCTTCAGCAAGAACCAATGAGGTTCATTCTCGTGTCACGCATCACGTTTGAGCTTCAGCAAGAACCAATGAGGTTCATTCTCGTGTTACGCATCACGTTTGTGCTTCAGCAAGAACCAATGAGGTTCATTCTCGTGTTACGCATCACGTTTGTGCTTCAGCAAGAACCAATGAGGTTCATTCTCGTGTTACGCAGCACGTTTGAGCTTCAGAAAGAACCAATGAGATTCATTCTCGTGTTACCCATCACGTTTGAGCTTCAGCAAGAACCAATGAGGTTCATTCTCGTGTTACGCATCACGTTTGAGCTTCAGCAAGAACCAATGAGGTTCATTCTCGTGTTGCGCATCACGTTTGAGCTTCAGCGAGAATTATGGATAAAGACAACTCAAACAAAAACGGTCAAACAAAAGACGTACTTTTATTTAATTAAAACAGCCTGTGAAACAGCACAAGTGTAACACCCCTACCAGTTGGTCACGCATTTTCCACAAGACAGAATTGATATAAACATTTGTACTCTTCTGAATATACAAAACAAAGTTACATTGTATATAAATATACCCATCCTTTTGAGAGGACAGTCATGGCTCATTAAAATCAACAAAGAGCCCATACGTATTCAGAAAGACTTGTTCGGTAAATTTGACTTAAAGATTTAAGAACTATTTCAAATGGAGCTAAACCTTGGCTCTCCCTCGTGTATTTCAAAAGATAAATGTGTAAAAGAAAATAAATCAAAATCAAAATTCAGCCAGAATTTACCAAGACTAATTTGCAGATTGCTAGTGGGTGAAATGCAAATCAGACAATAAGCAACCTGCAGCAGTCTGAAGTAAACTCTTGGATGGAAAGTTCATCATCAATTACTCATTTCAAACAAGTATGACTTTCTCCAATGGAACACACTCATATAATTTTACATGCTTGTCCCCCATCCAAATCCAGTGAACTGGGTAATTGAACACAGGAACCACCAGTTAACTTCCTCAGAAATTCTCCTTATGACTCATGAAAGAAAGGCATACAGGTTTGGAACCATATTTTGGGTGTGTAACTAAAAGTATTTTTATTTTTGGCTAAACTATTCCTTCAAATCGGCTTGAAAAAGATGCACAAAAGAGCGATTCTTTTTATCGTTCCATTTAATTTACCTAGTACATTATGGAAAATGTGTGTGAAATGGCACTCACTGACCCAAGTGTGTGAATGAACACAGGCCGAACAAATCGACAGCATTTCAGGAATGTAAAGGAAAACTATTCCAAGAAAGAACAATTACTAGCACACTTTGCAAAGAACGTTCTGGAGTGAAAAGCAGTGTGTAGAAGGAGACGTGTGCCCTTTGCATTGATTTTTCTCTTCGATGAACACACTTCATTTTCTGGCTGTTAAACTATTTTGCAAAGAACAATAGAATGCGGAGAATGTATAAAAGAAAAAGAACCAAGTTTTAACCTGTGTTACGCAAGCAAAAACCTTTCTCGGTGTAGGTGGGCGGGTAAGATTAAAGCAGAAGAAATGAATGCCACATTCTCTTAGAGCATGATAAACACTGGACACACGGTTTGTGGTGTGTGTTATCAAAAGCAGTCCTCAAATAAAAGGTGTTGCGTATTGTTGGTCATTTTGTCCATTAAAATAGGTTGAGAGATCAAAAAACGGAGATGAGGGCGAAGACTCCGTACAGCAAGGCGCAGGGATACGCCACCAGCAGCTGCTGCCCGTCCATGGCCAGAGCAGAGATGAAGATTTTAGAGGCCGAAAAACTGCACCAACCAATGATGGAGGCTGTTATAATGATTCCCATCATGCCCCTGAAAGACACATGAAAACACCAGGTTAGCAAGGTCTAGGGCTGTTACTAACCATCTTTTGATGATTAATCCGATTTTTTTTTCCGTGTAAATAAAAGGAGACCTAAGCCTTTAAAATGACTTAAAATACATATACAAACCCAATTCCATAAAAGTTGGGACACTGTACAAATTGTGAATAAAAACAGAATGCAATGATGTGGAAGTTTCAAATTTCAATATTATATTTAGAATACAACATAGATGACATATCAAATGTTTAAATTGAGAAAATGCATAATTTTAAGGGAAAAATAAGTTGATTTTAAATTTCATGGCATCAACACATCTCAACAAAGTTGGGACAAGGCCATTTTTACCACTGTGTGGCATCCCCTATTCTTTTAATAACAGTCTGCAAACGTCTGGGGACTGAGGAGACAAGTTGCTCAAGTTTAGGAATAGGAATGTTGTCCCATTCTTGTCTAATAAAGGCTTCTAGCTGCTCAACTGTCTTAGGTCTTCTTTGTTGCATCTTCCTCTTTATGATGCGCCAAATGTTTTCTATGGGTGAAAGATCTGGACTGCAGGCTGGCCATTTCAGTACCCGGATCCTTCTTCTACGCAGCCATGATGTTGTAATTGATGCAGTATGTGGTTTGGCATTGTCTTGTTGGAAAATACAAGGTCTTCCCTGAAAGACACGATGTATGGATGGGAGCATATGTTGTTCTAGAACTTGGATATACCTTTCAGCATTGATGGTGCCTTTCCAGATGTGTGCGCTGCCCATGCCACACGCACTCATGCAACCCCATACCATCAGAGATGCAGGCTTCTGAACTGAGCGCTGATAACAACTTGGGTTGTCCTTGTCCTCTTTAGTCCGGATGACATGGCGTCCGAGTTTTCCAAAAATAACTTCAAATTTTGATTCGTCTGACCACAGAACAGTTTTCCACTTTGAGTCCACTTTAAATGAGCCTTGGCCCAGAGAAAACGCCTGCGCTTCTGGTTCCCGTTTAGATATGGCTTCTTTTTTGACCTATAGAGTTTTAGCCGGCAACGGTGAATGGCACGGTGGATTGTGTTCACTGACAATGTTTTCTGGAAGTATTCTTGAGCCCATGTTGTGATTTCCATTACAGTAGCATTCCTGTGTGTGATGCAGTGTCGTCTAAGGGCCCGAAGATCACGGGCATTCAGTATGGGTTTCCGGCCTTGACCCTTATGCACAGAGATTGTTCCAGATTCTCTGAATCTTTGGATGATATTATGCACTGTTGATGATGATAACTTCAAACTCTTTGCAATGAACAGTTCACATATTTAGAAACAGTGATGTATTCTCCTGTTTCGTCCTGAAATGACGCACATTGCGTTCCCAGATTAAAATTATAAGCTACCCAAACTCACAGAATATGCAGAGATGGAGTGTGTAAATGATAACAGTTCATGTGGAGAAGCATTTACTGTGAACGAAAAGTTGGCACATATTGATAGGATAGTGGCTTTGATGGAGATTTGTGGGATGCAAATCCAGGGCACGAAGCTCCCGTTCCACCACATCCCAAAGATGCTCTACTGGGTTGAGATCTGGTGACTGTGGGGGCCATTTTAGTTCAGTCAACTCATTGTCATGTTCAAGAAACCAATTTGAAATGATTCAAGCTTTGTGACATGGTGGCATTATCCTGCTGGAAGTAGCCATCAGAGGATGGGTACATGGTGGCCATAAAGGGATGGACATGGTCAGAAACGATGCTCAGGTAGGCCGTGGCATTTAAACGATGCCCAATTGGCACTAAGGGGCCTAAAGTGTGCCAAGAAAACATCCCCCACACCATTACACCACCACCACCAGCCTGAACAGTGGTAACAAGGCATGATGGACCCATGTTCTCATTCTGTTTACGCCAAATTCTGACTGTACCATCTGAATGTCTCAACAGAAATCGGGACTCATCAGACCAGGCAACATTTCTCTAGTCTTCAACTGTCCAATTTTGGTGAGCTCTTGCAAATTGTAGCCTCTCTTTTTCCTATTTGTAGTGGAGATGAGTGGTACCCGGTGGGGTCTTCTGCTGTTGTAGCCCATCGCCTCAAGGTTGTGCATGTTGTGGCTTCACAAAGGCTTTGCTGCATACCTCGGTTGTAACGAGTGGTTATTTCAGTCAAAGTTGCTCTTCTATCAGCTTGAATCAGTCGACCCATTCTCCTCTGACCTCTAGCATCAACAAGGCATTTTCGCCCACAGGACTGCCGCATAACGGATGTTTTTCCCTTTTCACACCATTCTTTGTAAACCCTAGAAATGATTGTGTGTGAAAATCCCAGTAACTGAGCAGATTGTGAAATACTCAGATCGGCCGGTCTGGCACCAACAACCATGCCACGCTGAAAATTGCTTAAATCACCTTTCTTTCCCATTCTGACATTTAGTTTGGAGTTCAGGAGATTGTCTTGACCAGGACCACACCCCTAAATGCATTGAAGCAACTGCCATGAGATTGGTTGATTAGATAATTGCATTAATGAGAAATTAAACCGGTGTTCCTAATAATCCTTTAGTTGAGTGTAATTACCACATGGACCAGCCGTGTTTAAGATCTGTCAGCCACATTATGCGTAACTTTGCCAGTTTATTTTCTATAACCAAACGACTAATTAAATTATGATTAGACAAAAGCCTATTCTAACTGACTAACATTTGGCTGATTATTAGGTGGCAGTGCTAAAAAAATAAATAAAAAAACTTTAGAATATTCAATAATAAATTTTATTATAGATTATGGTATTAATAATTTATATACATGTATACACACACACACACATATATACACACACTTTTATCTTAAAAACAAAAATGAGTAAACTAAATAATTCTATATTGACATTACTTAATCTCAAAGTGTAAAAGGTTAGGGAACACCCTAACTAAAAAAGGTTGTAAAGCGTGACTTACTGTAAGGAGAAGAGGACCCCGAAACTAGACAGGATGATCATGGGGAGCAGGCAGTACCCGAGAACACTAGCGACACACCCAAACGAAACCCCCGTCATGCTCATGAGGTTGAGCAGGCAGTACATGCCCAGGCACCCGATGGCACTGATACCGTACACGTAACCAAACTGGATCTTACCAGTCTAAAATGAGAAGAAAAACGTGTGGTTATGCAGTTGGCACGTCTTTCATTTAACAAAAATATCTTCTAGTCAGATTTATTAGCATCAGAAATAAATAAATAAAATGCTTAAAAAAACCAAATAATAATCTTAAGATTAAACATTTGTCCCTTACCAAGAGTAGCGTCGCCCCAAAAGCCAAACAGAACACCATGGGACCAGCCAGATCTGTTTCGTTCATTATACTGCCATCTGCTGCCTTCAGCGGGTGCAGCACAGTCAGTGTCTTCTGCCAGATGTGGTCGAAGTTGATCCCCAGCTCTGCAAATGGAAAATACATTTTCACTTTTTTTGAAAGAATACCTGTTCTCGCCACATGCTACTAGGCCAGGGTTTCCCAAACGGGGAAATGTGCTGTTAAATTATTGAAATATTCACTTACAATCTCAGGGCAGGGGGTGCTTCAAGAAACATTTCATGGCAAAGGGGTCCAGCTGAGAAAAGTTTGGGAACCCCTATACTACAAGCATCTTGACACCCGAATTGCATCCGGTAGTTGACAAATGATTGATAGACAGAGCTGTGTTTATGAAATACTTCTTTGTAAATTTAATTAGTTTATTTGAAACTTTTCTTTCTATCCAGTGGTTTAATTTGAGAAGTGTGGATCGTAACCTAGCGCTATTTATACATATGGAAATATGCAACAAATCTAATCCCATATCTCTATGATATAATGTATTGTTTGATGCTCCACTCATGCATCACATGACTTAAATGTGCCAGAAAAATTGTGCAACTTTAACAAAACTGCTTCGCGGCTTATTTTCAAATGATAACGAGTAATGCTACAACTGATGATTGCCTCAGTGAGCAACACTAATAAGACAGGATTGGCATTGTGATAAACAGCGAGGCAGCAGACGTCAGTGAAGTGGCTTTCTCCACATCTCTCTGAAGAACTGGGGCAAGTGGCTTTCACAAGGTCTACTTAGCGTCAGTATGCAGGGACACAGATGTGGTTGTGCTAAACACGGCCCCAGGTGACACTTATTTGTTTTGTAAAGCTCAGAGTTCTGGCTTTGGGACGCAGAGACAATGCATTATTGATTTCTCTGTGAACAAGAATGAACTCAGCCCTGGGAATCACAGCAGTGCTTTCTTTTCTGTTCTGAAAACGATTCTACATGTATACCAAAGTACTATGGAAAAAAATATGAATGTCAGAGAAAAACAATTCCTCAATCATCAATGACAAACAAGGACCCAAACTTTTTGGATCCTTTTGACCCAGATGAGGAACATAACGTTTTTTTTTTGTTTTTAAATCCATAGCTTTTAGGAGGGTTTGAAAATTTTTTTAAAAAATCCACATTTCACTTTGCTGCCACGTATAGATGAACCATTGCAGCATGAAAAGGAAATTCAAGATGTGTTTCTCATCTTCATTTTTTTCATATGAAAGTTACATTTATGCAAGTGAAATGAACGTATACGACACCTCTGATTGGCCGTTGTGTTCACGAGCTCATCGGATATGTCTGTGATTGGCTACAATGATCAGCAGGCATCAATAGAGAATGGGAATGTGACGTCAGCGGATCCCAGTAACGCAAGGCATTGTGGGATTTTAGGACACGGAGGTTGCGTGAGAAACGTCAAATCTGCAGTATATTTTTTGTAGACATGTACTTTTGATCTATTTACTAGTTATTTATTTATGTTTATGTGTACGGTGAAGCATATACCAAGGTAAACTCCTCGTATGTAAAAAAACCAGGAAATAAACCGGATTCTGATTTATTACAGAAACTAATCTAGAACATTGCAGAAACAATAAAAACAACAGCGTTTCACCTGGAAATTACATTTAATAAAAGTAAAGAACGCATCTAAAATGTTTCCAAAGTAACAAAGAAAATACAATCGACACAGAGTTTAACTTGCACTGTTGTTGTTGGTGACAGAGAGGTGTGTCTGGTTCAAATGTGTATGCGCTCACACCACAAACAAGGTAAGAAAACACGTCAGGAAATGTTGTTTGCCGTAGCTTTTTCAGATCAGTCGACCACTCTTTGTGTTCGTACGGATCGAGCCTGTTAATTGCCTTTATTTTCTCAAAGTAGCGCTCCTTTGCTTCCTCGTTCAGCTTATCTCGGTAGAGAACCTTGTGCTTGATCTTCGCACGGTCCATGTGTGTTTGTTTACCTTAGTTACGACAACCGTATCCTAAAATATGGCCGCCGCTACCCAGAGTGCACTGCGCCATGACGTAGATTCCCATTCTCTATAGACCTTTTTCACAAAAACCGGAAATACGTCATCGTTGTGGAAACGGAGTTCCCGTCAACTGTCGACACATCAGAAAAACCTACTCTGGGAGGAGAAAATTGATCAGAGAGTCTTCAAAACTTTGAAAAAATGTAAACTTGTCATGGTCCAGTTGTTGATGACTTTGTAAAATGCTGTGGTGATGCTTGTCTGCAGCTGATGTATCTAAGACCAAAGATATGACTATTGATTTCAGAACTGAAGCTCATTCTTCCCAATATACGTTCATTAAAGGTAAGAAGGTGGAGTGTGTGGAAAGTTATTCATATTTAGGGAGTATTATTTACAATAAACTGCATTTTGATGTGAATACCAGAAAAAAGTCTGTCAGTTTTATTCAACAGTTATCCTGAATTTTTTGCACTGCTGTTCCTATAGAACGATCAAAGATGAAGAAAAATTATACAAATATTAATTTATCCCTTGTACACTCAGATTGTTAAATACTCAGAATGGTATATATTAATATTTTAAATTTATATGTAGCCCACTGTTGTGTGTTCTTATTTATCTTGTTTTATATTGTGGTGTATATTTTTATGTGCTTATTCCGCTGGATACAAATATCTTAATAAAGTTGAACACGAACTAACGTTACTTCAAAAATACACAAAACATAAAAAATAAACAAACAATGACGGCTTATTAGTGAATGGTGACATGAGAAGTACAGAAGATCACAGGATCAATAACATCCCGCCAGATTGCCTGAATCCAGTTCCTTCGAACTTCATCGACAGGGAACTGACGAGGGAAGGAATGAAAACGACAGGTATGGCTGCTTTTGGGAATAACCAAAAAGATCGGTACGCAACAACTCTCACTAGTTGCCTTCGGCGCTATCTGTTATGAATGGAGCGGAAGAAGATTACCACGACAATTGCGTATTTCCGGTCACAAATACGGAAGTTGTGAGAAAGGTCTATTAGCGGACCGTGTGCATCCGTGGAAGCGCTCTGTGAAAAGCATCATTGATGTATAATACCAACATGTTTTTGAAGCACTGATCATTGGAGCCAATCACAGTCATTTCAGATTAGCGTGAACACAGTGGCCAATCAGAGACGTTTATGATTCGCATTTTCAATGAGTCGCATTTTTAAAATGTCAGTACCAACTTGGTACAGAAGTCGGTGCATTTGACAACAGTATTGACACGCGACCTTAAAATAAAGAATTAGCACATTTACATTAGTGGCTTCAACAACCAGATGCTCCTAATCTTGTTTCATCTGGAATACTCTTTCGGAAGGCATTTACATCTGGTCTTTTCACGACTGGACCACCATCCCAACAAGAAAACACATAAAGTGACCACGTGTGTGTTCCACATGCATCACTGTCATTTTGATGTGTGTGGGGAATGTCGAATAGGACTCAATATGCTTATTTTAACATCTCCGAATATATAATCCCTCCACGTACCATAGGCTGCCAACCCCAAATTTAAACAAATCTTTGAAAATCTAATTAATATTTCATTTCACAAGCCTCGCAGATGTGCGTGTACCAGTCAGTCCATGTGAATTGAACGCGGATATATATTCAATATTGTTACGAATAAAGGCGATTACACGAGATTGCAACTTTGGGTGTCTCTGTGTTTCTTCCGTGTTACTTTCTCTTTCGCAGAGAAGTGCTGATTGGTTGTCCTGGTTACGGTCATTGGCTGATCTCTGAGGCTTGTCATCAGAGAGGAGGGAAAGAGCGATCCAATCACGGGGATCATCAGGAGATGCGGGAACTATAAAAGGAGCACCTGAACGCGATTGTGTGGCCAGCCTTTTGTTTTGTGAACTGCAACCGTGTGCTGAGTCCTTTGTTACGTTTTTGTTGACATTCGTTTGATTATTGAATTAGTTCGTTTATATTAAGTTTGTCATGTGAATTAGAGCGTCTTAAACCTGAACTTCTTTACTCATTATGTGAACTTGAGTAATGATGCCTTATTAAAACAGGGATAAAGGAAAGGGTCAGGTAAGATGTCACGTGACATACATTGCGCACATGTAGTTTTTTTCTTTGTTTAAAAACATTAGATTTAGGGACAAGTGCCACTGTTGTATTTTTGTTTTGGTTAGTTAGTGTAGGGAAGTATACGACGTCTCGGACGTTGAAGATCTTTCTTTTCTACATTTTATTTTTTATTAGTTAGGTTAGATTAAATTCGGGTGAGAAAGATTGTTTTTTTTTATTAATTTCTTTGAGTTGGCACTGTCCAGTTGCCCTTTTCTTTTCCCAGAATTAATACATAATTTGCTGGTATGTTTATGTTACTTTATTGATTGGTTAATATTTGTTTGAATTGTTTCTTCATGAAGATGTGTGATGTACATACATATTATGGAGAGATATTTTGACCGGTTGTGGCCAGCAATAAAGAAAAAGAAACCTTAAATACACTTCCCAGTGTTTTCTATGGTGGGTGTCGAGGGATGATTAATGTTCCCCTTCTAAATCCCTAGACGGTTAAAAACTAAGAAGGGTCGTAACAAATATGCATGCATGAAGTTCAAAACAAGAAGGGTATAGCCTTATAAAAAACGTGAATATCACGGTTCCTGCGGTTACTTGCAATCCTCCTGTTGATATACCTCTGCGTCCTCTGCCGTCTACACCAGTGCAAGTTTGTGAAAGCAGTTGTATCAACACGGAAGGGGGATTGTTCTTTACAACAATCAATACTACATTAATTTGCAGTTGAATGTCTATAATAATAGTATTAATATGTTGCATAACTACAGTCCTGTAATTCAGGTAACAGCTGGAAAAAAAATGCATTTTTCAAAAACAATTATCTAAATCTCGAAGATCGGATCAGATCGAATCGAATAATGATAATCGATTCAAGATCTTAAGAATCGGAATCATCGATTCTTGAAATTTGATTCGAAAACCAGCTCTAGACATGAGGTCTAGAATATTATTACCGAACTCTCATTTCCAGGTGAACAACGACATGTCAAAGTCTCACTCACCCTCCAGCAAGGGGGGCTCATCCTCAAAGCTGCTGCTGTACATGGACTGAGGGGAGGCGGGTGTAAACGCTGGCGTGGGCTGGAAGATCTGCCCCGTGTACGGCTGCTGGGGCGGCATCATCCCCGGGGCGCCCGTGTAGCCCATCGGCTGAGAGTAATCATACTGGCCATACTGGCCTCTGTCAGATGCAGATTTAAAGTCAAAATCAGGTGACACACATTCTCACACTCAGCATGTGTATAAACAGACAAGAATAATACTTGTTACAATTATGAAACATGTAATTTTTTGAAAAATACTAATTTTATGTGCTGATTACCGTCGCTTTGAATATTATTGGCCCGTGATATATTTAAATGTCAAATCATACTGTACATTACATTGTAAACAATAGACAGATCATCTGCGGGATTGTCTATATTGTATATCCAACTTTGTCCGCATTAATACAGTGTGCTCACTTAAAGCAAACGATTGCAAAATGTAAACAGTATCATCAACCAATTATATATATTTAAAGTTGGATATATAGTAGTGCTTGCCCCTAATAGTCGACAAAATTTTAATTATTCACCCGACTAATCGACTAAAGGCCTAAATGAGCGACTACTAGTCGACTAGAAAAATTAATAGAGTGTGTGAATACACTTACCTAAAGGATAATTAGGAACACCATACTAATTCTGTGTTTTCAACCCCCTTTTGCCTTCTGAACTGCCTTAATTCTACGTGGCATTGATTCAACAAGGTGCTGAAAGCATTCTTTAGAAATGTTGGCCCATATTGACAGTGGTGGAGGAAGTACTGAATCTCAGTGCTTAAGTAAAAGTACAAATAACCAGATAAATATTTACTTTAGTAAAAGTAGAAGTAACACAATGACAACCATACTTAAGTAAAAAGTACCTGATTTTAAATGTACTTTAAGTATTAAAAGTAAAAGTACTTGCATAATAATTGATTCTCTTAATGACTATTTTTCTAATGATTAATAAAACATTTAATTCTAACTCATTCAACCTAATACTCCTATAATGATGTTCAATAATGATGGAAATTTTTTTTTCACCATTTCTGAAACAAGCTTGCAATTAGGCAATATATGCCATGCTTATCCTTACTTTAAGTTAATAACTATGTTTGGCAGTAAACATGATTAATTTTTGGTGTAATTCTGAACCTCTTGGCTTGCCATAATCCTAACCAAACGTATATTACACCCAGTGTGTTTCCTATGCATGTAAAAACAAATTTTCGCGTATAAATTGTACGATAAACACACTGCGTGCGAGACGCATTTAGTTCATGCATCTATGGCAACCAAACGTCACTGGTGAGACAAACGGGCAACGAACGGACGGTCAGATTACATTTTGGCAGGGGAAAACCTGATCAGAAAATGTAATGAAAATGTAACAGAAGTTGTAGAAATGTAGTGGCGTAGAAATGTAGTACTCTACTTAAGTAAAGTAAAGATACGTGAAAAATGTACTTAAGTAAAGTAACGAAGTATTTGTACTTCGTTACATTCCACCACTGCATATTGATAGGATCGCATCTTGCGGTTGATGGAGATTTGTGGGATGCAAATCCAGGGCACGAAGCTCCCGTTCCACCACATCCCAAAGATGCTCTATTGGGTTGAGATCTGGTGACTGTGGGGGCCATTTTAGTACAGTGAACTCATTGTCATGTTCAATAAACCAATTGAAATGATTCGAGCTTTGTGACATGGTGCATTATCCTGCTGGAAGTAGCCATCAGAGGATGGGTACATGATGGCCATAAAGGGATGGACATGGTCAGAAACAATGCTCAGGTAGGCGATGGCCCATTAAACGATGCCCAATTGGCACTAAGCGGCCTAAAGTGGGCCAAGAAAACATCCCCCACACCATTACACCACCACCACCAGCCTGAACAGTGGTAACAAGGCATGATGGATCCATGTTCTCATTCTGTTTATGCCAAATTCTGACTCTACCATCTGAATGTCTCAACAGAAATCGAGACTCATCAGACCAGGCAACATTTTTCCAGTCTTCAACTGTCCGATTTTGGTGAATTTCTGCTGTTGTAGCTCATCCACCTTAAGGTTGTGCCTGCTGTGGCTTCACAAATGCTTTGCTGCACACCCCTAAATCCATTGAAGCCACTGCCATGTGATTGGTTGATTAGATCATTGCATTAATGAGACATTGACCAGGTGTTCCTAATAATCCTTTAGGTGAGTGTTTATAGTGCATGCAACTTTACCCCCATAAATACAGTTGACTCAAAACAGTGCAAACTACATAGCAAATTTCAGCTGTGTGATTGTTTAAATTGTAAAATGTAAACTATATAAATCGCACAGCTCTTTACAGTATAACAAGTTTAATTAAACAAGCATATCGAACTTTAACCACACAAACTAGTATACTGACTTGTAGAGATATACACTAAACAGCAAATCTCAATGTCGCAAAATGTAAACTATAGCATCAAACAGCTCAAATCTATTAAATGTGACAAAAGGCATGAACCACGAGGATAGTAATTATAAACTTAAAGATCATGATTTTCAGTAAAGCAGATCTGAAACTAAGTGTATTGCAGAAAAGAGCTCTACTAAAACACGACTTGTTAAACAGGCTATATAATAATAATAATAACAACAACAACATCAGGACTTGCATACTTGCTGTACGGGTCCTCTGTGTTGCTGTAGCCGTATCCTGCTTGGTTCTGGTCATCTACACTGTAACTAGACTGGTAAAAGTCTGTGTTGAAGTTGTCAAACCCTGCCATCGCAAGCAGCCTGGAAGACATGAAGCAGAAAAATCAATCTGCAATGGACAATATTATCATATCAGAGTTTTATCTAATAGTATCAAAGACAAGAAGATTATTTGGGTGGAGATCTTGTTTAAACTGATGAACTACATTTAGGATGTTATTTAAAACACACACATAAAGGATGTTGTAACAAATAAGGTTTAAAGCATGCAAATTATATTACTTGACAAGAGCAGATGGATGATATTAAAGAATCAAAAACAGATTATCTGGATAAAGAATCAACATGCACAAAAAGGTACTATTGTAAATGGACAGAATCAGATTTTAATACCATGGTACAAAATAAGTGCCATAGTCCAATATGGGGGAAAACCATGGTATAACAATCAGAGTAACTTACAATGATATTGCCAAAGTAAAACAACGGTATAACCACAGTACATGTCCAAATAAAAATGGCATTACCATGGAATATGCTGTTATTAAAATGATACATGTGAAAAACACGGACTTTGTTGTGTCAGATGAGAACCATTTATAGATCAGATTCAATTGTGTTTATCAAAAGCATGTAGCGCTAATTCAGCATGTTAATTAAAGCATGCTGCACTAATTCTGTCGTTCACATATTTGTAGAACAGTCAGTCACACGTTTAATGTGATTTTGGCATAAATAATATTTGTTTTGTTTGGGTTCAGTTAGCACAGCTCAACTAAAGCACTGCAACGCCACATACAATCACTGTCAGCCCTATTCAAACACTGTCCTCAACACACCTTTAAACATGTAACACAGTGAATAAATTACTGAAGTAATGAGGTAAACACAACAGTTTTACTCACACTGTTAATCGCCCAAGACTCCGCCAACACCGCTACGTGTCAAGAAATAGCAGCAGAACTTCCGGGTCATGGGGACGATCGATGACGTCGCTGTGTACGTAGAGGCTGCACAAAACGGAAGTGCGTCCTCTATGGGAAGAAGTGCTCACTACACACACACACACACACACACACACACACACACACACACACACACACACACACACACACCACACACACACACACACACACACACACACACACACACACACAGGCAAATATAAGTTTATTACACACGGTGGTAATTCAAAAACGTGCTCGAGGGCCCCCGTTTTCCTCTCTGAACACCAAATTAGTATTTTTTTTTAAACGCTGCTTGTTGTCAACCTATTTGTTTTCATTTACAAAAACGGTTTGTAGGCTATTGTTAGTAACACAAACTAAACAAGTGTTTTAAAATTATTCTTGTTTTTCTCAGTTCAGATCCATTCAAATTATTTCAATGAATATTATTAAGATAATATAATCAGATTGAACAATTCCTAAACCTAATCTAACTGCAGGCAGCCAAGAAAATGAGGTGAGAGTGAATTGTCTCCCAAGGGGAAGATGGGAGTTTAGCTAAAAGAAAACAACACGTAAAGTATGAGGATCCGACTGAATGATCTGCTTCTGTTATGGAAACAGCTTGTCGCAAAAGTGACTGCTTGTCAGCTAATATTCAAAATTTTTATAATACACATTCATTTTGGAGTGATCTATATTTGGGATCTCCTAGAAAAAATGACCTGTTTTATAAGAGAAGTAGGCCCTATCCATTCATTTTGAAATAGTTACTGACTCTAACTGAAAAGCAACTGAAGGATGTTACAGTAGGCCTGACTAAAGCACACATGATGCAATTTACACTGTCTCCAATGATACAGATCTAACTGAAAACACAGAGAAAGGGGAATGTTTAGTTTGTAAATAAGATGAGAAAAAATTAAAGCAATTTTTTTTTTTTTTTTACAAAGTACCGATAAAAAGTATGAAGTATTAAAGGCTAAAGGCACATTGCACACTGAGTCCAAAATTCGCATATGAAATTTTCGCACGTAAAAAAAAAATTGACCTCACGTTATGTCAATCACGCTTGCACACCGCCTCCGAAACTTTCGTCCGTCATAAAAAATTCGGATTGGGTTCGATGTTCTGCGTTTTTCGCGTCCACAGCCAGCATTTTGAGAGGTTTTTTGACAATTCACGACCGGGAGGAGCTCCGCAAATCATTGCACATGCGCAGTGCTTTCAATTCGATCATATGTTCTCTCGATCGGATTATTAAAGGAATAAACCACCCCTTTCAATCAGATTGAAATTTTGGTTTAGTAAAGGTTTAACAAATACGTATTGGACTCAGTGTGCAAGCTTTTCGCATGACGAATTTTTAGGCTGACGAACACGAAAAAACGCATACGAAAATTTCGTACTCAGTGTGCAATGGCCTTCACACTGAGTCCGAAATTCGCATCTGAAATTTACGCACCTTAAAAAAAATAGACCTCAAGTTATGTCAATCACGCTTGCACACTGCGAATGAACGAAACGTTCATTCGTCATAAAAAAAAAAAAATCGAATCGGGTTATATTTTCTGCTTTTTCGCATCCGTAGCAAGCAGTGTGAATGGTGTTTTGACAATTCAGAGCCACCGAATCACAAATACGAAAACGCATACGAAAAACGTCGGAATCAGTGTGCAATGGCCTTAAGGCTGCATCCAAAATCACACTCTCTTGATTAGGTACTTATTAAATAGTAATTTGATGTAATTCATTTGCAACTGCTAAAATATAGTATGATTGTGTATAGTATGAATGTAATCTGGATCTACTACATTCACCATGTTGCCCTTTTCACATGAACTATACCAGTGTTAGTTGAGGCACCTCATAAATCCTTTCCCGTGGCCTTATGGGATAGTAGTGTTCATCATTTGCACACTTCAGAATCTCACCGGAAGAAGTAGGTCAGCCGGTACACTTTTTGCCTATACTTTTTTATGAGTACTGTGAATTCAGACAGACATCTTTTTTGTGGCATACCGTTTTTCGTCTACTAGGGAAGTGTGCGATTTCTGATGATTTTTTTTAGCATGATAGGTTTGGATTAACGTAAAATAGGGTCTGTGGTTAAAATTATGTTTAATGTTTAGTTCTAAAGCATAAATAACACTGTCATATGTCTAATGGGAACTTTTTATTTATTTATTATTGAGCCAATCCATACAGTAGCAAAATATCCCTCAAGTTTGAGTCCAAACTGAACTGTATGTACTGTGTTTTCACAGTACATACTAAAAATTACTATTAGTAGTAAACTACGGAAGGTATGGAAGTGTATTGCATTAACTTGAAGAAATAAATTTTTACTAAATCTAAATCTATCAGATAATTTTTCATGGCAAATGGCAAATTTTTGCTCTGTTTTTCCGAATTAACTAATTATTTATCTCAAAAACTCATTAATTCATAAAAACAGAAAAGATTTTGTTTCCTCAAGTGAATGCAATACGCTTCTGTATAAAACAATGACATAAAATAATAATAATAATAATTAATTAATATTTAATTAATTAATAATCATTAGCAAACATTACCTAATACCAACCAGATCAAGTCATGCAGGTTCAAATATATATAAGTCTACAAGCAATAATTTAATCAAGCAAATTCATTATGATCAATTCATTATTTTCATCATTGTTGTTGGAAATCTTAAGTTTCATTATTGAAAGGTCAGTGTTTAAAACAACAAATATTTGTGGATTAAATACTACTCAAACTTAACTGTTACATCACACATACTTAAAAAAACAGCAACTAACTCTCTATTCTGCCCTCAATTCCTTATTAGACTGGCAAAAGACTGACAAACTAGACACAAATGTGTTGGTGTCAAGAGGAACTAAAAATAAATATCTGCTGGGAAGTCATCATTATTACTATTTTGCAGGAAAAATAGAGGTTACATGTTCTGGGTGATTGGGAGACATAAGGAAAGGCTCGATCCTCTGAAATGTTCACGCATAAAGTCATAAAGTAGCATAATGGTGCAGGTGGAATGGAGTGATAATGTGGTGGTTGAGGCTCAGGGTGGCTGGTAACACAAAAGCCCCATCATAGTTATGTTTGAGTCATTACTGAAATCCACAGTCACATTCTGTGCCCTTAAGCACTCCTGAAGTTAGTCCAGGGAGACAAAGCTAAAAAGAAAAGTAAGCATAAAACCAGTGGTGGAGGAAGTACTGAATCTCAGTACTTAAGTAAAAGTACAAATACCCAGATAAATATTTACTTTAGTAAAAGTAGAAGTAACACAATGACAACCATACTTAAGTAAAAAGTAAAAAGTACTTTATTTTAAATGTACTTTAAGTATTAAAAGTAAAAGTACTTGCATAACAATTTATTATCTTAATGTCTATTTTCTAATGATTAATAAAACATTTAATTCTAACTCATTCAACCTAATAGCCTACTCCTATAATGATGTTCAATAATGATGGAAAAAAAAACGTCACCATTTCTGAAACAAGCTTGCAATTAGGCAATATCATGCTTAGGCCTAAAAAAAAAAAAAGTTTGGTTCCGGTTGGTTGTCAGTTGAGGTCATGGGTCGGTAGGGATTTTTTTTTATTTTTTTTTTTATTTTTTTTTTTTCAGTGGCAGCAAGTTATGGGTAGGAAATTATTCAGGGCTCGACATTAAAGGGATAGTCAAACCTAAAAATATCAAAATTGAAACTACTGTGGAAACAAAGACAACTACATCTTGGATGCCCTTGAGTTAAGCTAAAACATATCAAAAATTAATTTCAAAGTGAACTATTCCCTTAAGCCTTTTCACGTGCTTGTAAGTAAATTTGTCAGAGTAAAAAAGTTGCTTGTCCAGATTTTTAAAATTTATTTATTTTTTATTCTGAAGCAATATTCTCATCAGTGTTCAATCAGCTTTGATATTTAAAAAAGGCAAATTGTAATATCTGCACCTTTAAGGGCATCCCCTCCACCAATATTATTAAATGCCCTATAGTGTCTTATTATTCTAAATAATTGAATTTATTGATCAAATTTAGGAATTTAAAATGAAAGATGAAGCATACTGTTACCCTAGGTAGGGCTGATGAAATTAAATAATTTACACTGAAAAATTACAATTTCATAAAATAATGTTATGAAATTGATTTAAATGTGCAAATAAGAAATATTGGAAAGAATTATACTAGGCTAAACATAACACTAAACTGCCAATAGGTGGCGGCAGGCGGCCGTATAAATGAGTGAGTTATTGATTCGTTAATTCAAACGATTCGTTCAAACGGTTGATTCATTCACGAATGAGACGGATGTTGACGTTTATGAATGGGTCATTGAATTCTTGACTCAACCGATTCGTTCAAAATGCTGAATCATTCAGTAATGAAAACAGGATGAGTTCCTGTGAGATGCGTCGTGGTTCTGCTGTGACTTTTCTTTGGAACTATTTTCGCTGCTGAAATGGAACAAAAACACCCAATATTGCTTATAAACAGTAAGTGACTTAATCTTAACTGTTTATTGAACTGTAGGAAATCAATGTCACTTTTTCAATCGTGATGGTATTCAGGAAAAATAATTGAGGCTGCTTAGTGCTTAACATATGTTAAAATATAAAAACTCCACATTTAGATTTTTTATAGGCAGAGTATGTTGTTAACTGTGTGTGTGTGCTCCGCTCGTGTGTAGATTTCTCTGCGCGAGCGTCAACAGCGCAACCTTACCATAATACAGTAGGCCTGCTACATTTATTATCCACAATCGATCGCAACTTGCAATAAATGTAATAAAATCAGAATCATTCTCTCGGTTTAGTGATTCCCTAGTTATTTTTTTGTTTGTTATTGATGTTCTAATCAGGCTACTTGTCCGTTGGGGCGAGTAAAATTCTCTTTTACTTGTCCTTCAAAAATCCATTTGTCCCGGAAAAGCGGACAAGTTAGACGGGCTCTAGAGATACGAACCGCGGCAGGTTAGAGTGTTTTGGATTGCATAAAATAATGAAAGAAACTAACAAATACATGGCGAAAGAAGTGCTAGACAGCAGAAGATGGGATTGGGATCATGATTGGATCATGATAGGA